TTGGCCTTGGCCATCGGTGATGAGCTGTGGTGGTTTTCCCCCCTGTGATAGAGAAAAAGAAAATGGTTTTCATATCCATATCTATACACACACACATCTATGTACGTGTGTGCACACTTTCGGAAACAAAAGCTCCAGGAAGTAACCCCCCTTTGTCCCTTAACTCTGCTCCCATAAACACATACACACACACACAAACACACACACGCACACACACATCCCAAATCAAATTGTTTGATGCTCTTATAAGTTTTCTGAGCTCAAATCCTGTTTTACTCTTCTTACTAGACGTTTGCCAAGTCACTTTACTATCTCCAACCTTAGCTTTCTTCTCTGTAAAATGGGGAGTTTGGCCTAACGGGGTTCCTTCCAAGTTTCACAAGCCCTTTTAGTCTCTATTCTGTGAGTGGAAAGTGCTTCTAATTAATATATCAATTTTTCCCTTGGAAAGTAAGGTTATTTAAATTACATGGTGCTTTTGTGATTCAAAAGAAGTAATGTACTTCTGAAGATATTTAGTTATTCCCAATGTCAAATTAACACAGGAGAATTTAGATAGCTGTGTCAGGGTTTGACTACGCCTTTACCTGAGATGCAGGATGGCTTAGATATTTACACCCAAGAGCCATGATTTGGGGGGCAGGCTATCTGGGCAGAAGGGGCAGCCATGCTTGGACCACTTGATCTTCCCTCTTCTTTTGTAGCTCATTGAACCAGTTCATGGGGACACCTGGCCCTAAAGTGGCCCATTCAAGGGATGGCCCATGGGTGCTTCAAAATGAGGAGCTCACCATCAGGTGATCTGGGTGTTCTGAACTCAGAAATACTAAGACAGGGAGTTAGCAGCAGTTAGTACGGAACCTGAAAGAACGTACTGAGAGATGCATGAAGGGAGCGTCCAGGCTGTTGCCACAAGGCGACAGAAGCCAAAGAGACAGAGGTACCAGCAGAGGTACGAGAGAGGCTGGAATGGCCCATGAAAGAGAAAGAGTGGCCTTAAGTCCAAAGAGCTCTCTGGGTCCAAAACCCAAATTACAGAAATCATGATGAATGTCCTTTCCTTTGAGAGACTTACTGTTAAAACCGCCACACTAAATTAATCAGTGCCCAAAACTGCCTCAGAGGATCACTGTAAGCTCCATGAGGTCATCCAAGTTATTCACCGTCCTCTCCCTAGCACCTCCTGGAGCAACAAGCATGAAACTGTATTAGTAAGTATTTCTTGGATTAACAAATGTACTCTTGGGTCAATCAATGAACACTTATGGAATAATTTTGAGATTTTAGTTTTGTCTTTTACATTCAGCATAAGTATATCTAAAACCATATTGTATGTAACTAAGAAGACTATTCTTAAAGATTGCAAAAAAAAAAAAATTACAAACAGTATTGATAAAATTAACTGCTTTTTTAGGCTGGCTTTTAACTTTATTGTTTACCTAGATGAAAATGTTACCCAAATAGGGCTTTAATGAAGTATAGATTTTCTAAAAATAGGTGCTATCCCTAGAATTGATTTGTAGGTTGAAGGAATCTGCTTTTTTCTTATTATATTATTACATATTTATTATTTGGAAGATGGACGAGCCCTGACCCTTGTATATACACATGGCTCCTCCTTCTATTTCAGAGGGATTCTGGTGATAGAGTGGGCTAGCCATCCACAGTCTTTCTTCCCTTGTCTCTTATGTGACCAGAAATGCTGTTTCTGAAAGAGAAGTAAACGGAGTTAGGACAAGCTGCCTGTGGCCAAGGAAACAAACAAAGCAAGGTTAATTCTTTGGAATACGAGTCCACAGTCCCAGTCAATGGAATTGATCCTGAGGAATCAGGCTCAGTCTGGACCCATCATCATTCATTCATTTGACCTGGAAAGTACATAGTTTATACGGCAGGCCTCAAAACATCAAGAGCAGGGGCACCTGGGTACACCTGCTGGGGGCACCTGCTCAGTCAGTTAAGTGCCTGACTCTTGGATTTGGGCTCAGGTCATGATCTCAAGGTCAAGAGATAGAACAGGCATGCATGCACTTTCTCTCTCTTTCTCAAAGAAAACCCCAAAAAACAAAAAAACAAAAACAAGCAAGCAAACAAACAAAAAACTTCATTCCCAACTTCCTTTATGGAAAATGATTAGGTATATTTGAGATGAGCTAAGATGATCTGTAAAAAATAAAGTTAGGTGTAAAATGTATGGCTAAAATCCAAACAAATATAGTTGGAACAAACATTTTATAATTGTCAAACATACTTACAATATCATTTAAGATTTTACTCTCATTGTGCAAGAGGATTTAGAATCAAATGCATGTGAGCAAAATAGGGACAGAGAGTGCAAAGATGATCATGAATGAAGGTAGCTTGTATTCTGAAGGTGTTTGAACTCCATAGACTCTTATTTTTATGTCGTATGCAGGTATTTTCAGATAGTGTCACGTAACAGTATCTATAATTACTGTGTACCTATTATATAATAGTAGCTTTGCATATTACCTTCCTTTGCAATAAACATGGGACTCATTCTCTATCACTTGGTGTTATTTTCCCATTTGGGATTTGAATACCTTGTCCATGGTTACACAGCTAACAAAGAAGCTGGTTACAGTTAAAAATCTAAATATTGTTGGCTCTCATTATTTTATTCTTTTTACTCAGTAGAGGCAGAGAAAGTATAAAGATAATTCATTGTGGGTTCTTTTTCCTCTTGTAAAAACTAATCTGTATGTGATCTAGAAGGAAAGAAAGAAGTGCAGGATCAATATATGAATGTACTTCAAGTGAAAAGCAAAATAGTAACCTTAAATTACATCATGAATGCTTGCAAGGAAAGCTTGAGTGTTTTAAGAGAATGATTTTTAATGTAAAAGGGATTTACATCTTTGCTAGACTCAAACCTGTGGTTACCTTCAGTGATTCCAATTCACAGTCCTCTTCTATGGAAATTTAAGAGATTAAACCCATTGGGAATACCAATAAATACGAATCAGCACTATGGTAATTATTTACGTTAACATTGATTGACAAACTCAAAGAACTACCATTTGATCAAGCCCCGAAAATTCATCCTTATAAGTTGACACCTTGAATTGAAAGGATGATCATCGATCGAATGAGTCTTCTAAATGCACAAATATAAAAATGGCAAATCAAAACCTGAATGGAAAATAGCTATCGCTCTTTTGTTTGGAACAAATATAAAAACAGACCAAGAGCGAGTGAGAAATGGTTGGGGGCATCCAGTGGGCCTGACCTGCCTGGAAGTGATCGGTGTCAGTTACCAGAGGAGATCGCAGTGGCCTGGTGGGGGCGTTGCCTAGACAAAGGAGGCTTGCACTTGTTCCATGGAACTCCAGAAGTTGAGACTAGAATCAGTGGGTGGAATGTACAAGGAGGCCGACTTGTGATTAAAATGGAATGGGCTGCTTTAGGAGGTAATCATGGTGCCCTTACATCTGTAGCTCCCACATAGAAGCGAAATAGCCACCATTCAGAATGTTCTGGGAAGGGACGCAGGCACACAGGCGGCAGACAGCCCTGGACTCTTAGCCACAGCATTCATTTATACTCCCCGATGCTCACGAATCTTTAAATCCTTTATATTCTTGGTATATTTTGAACCTGAGCAATTAGTATGATTTACGCGATCCCTCCCCTTCCCCCTGAGTTATTTCCTTCTGTGCTGTTTTGGATTATATAATGGTGATACTTTATACTAGGTTGCCTTTAGATAGAATGTGCTTCCTTCGGTTCTGTGAATTTTATTGTTGTCGGTTCAGATTCTTATTGTTGTTGCGTTCTTTGGAAACACTCTTCTAAAACATTTGGCAGCAAAAAGAGGGAAGAGTCTGCTTTGTGGGGTTTTTGTTTTTGGATTGGAAAAAAAATAAACTTTTTGATTCGTAGCAGTAGAAATTCATGGATAAATATTTTTAGGGTCAGGCCCACTGTCCTGCATCCATGTTCACCCAACAATAGGCTCGGAGAATAACTCCTCGGAAATGCAAACGAAAATGTCAGCTAGTCCTGTTCCTCTTGGTTTGCAAATGCTTAATGGTGTTGCTTTAAGGCGTTAAGCTATAAAGTCCGCGATAGGCTGTCTCACTGTCACTAGTGCAACATCTCTGGACCCCAGAGTGGGTAGTAGTAGTTAATAAAAAGCTCTTCCAGACCAAGTCATCATGCTGTATTCCGTAATTTTATTCATGGAAACCTAAAGAGTGTTTAGAGGATGGTGTCTTTCTAGGATCAGAATAGTGGGAGGAAAAAAAAAATGGAAAAATGTCCAAACATCTTTGCATGGCAATGATGGCATTACTGGTGTGTTTAATAAAACCTTTATTGGTACATTTTCCGGTGTGGTGGCATTGGCAGAAACGGTCCCCCTTTGGATTTGGAACTCAGCAGCTGATGAAATGCAGTAAACATTAATTTGGAATGGGCTGCCAGTTTGGGAAAGCCAGGTGACATTTTATTATATTTGTACCGAGCAGGGGCTGTGTCCCATACTGCTGTAGCTTCCGCTGTCAGAGGCTTAGCTGGCATTATGGAAAAAAAAAATGGCAGGCCTGAGAATCTTATCCCCTGAAATGAAAGTCGAATGCCAAATTGAAATTCCTGTAGGATTTCCGATAGCAATGGGGGAATTGAGAAGCCCACAATTAAGCATATGGGCATTAAGATAATTGTCAGATCTGTTGGCGGACATGATAGAAGACAGATGGGTACGAATCAGTGCGCTCCACTGCAGCACCCTGGGAGACAATTTGACGTTTTACCTGCCTGAGCTACTCTGCCATATTTGTCACTGGATGTACAGCCCGGCATCGTACTGAGTGTGAAGTGTTTTGCCGGGTACTGCAGGTGCAAGTGTGGTCCTTCAGCGCCCTCTAGTGAAAGGCACTTGGGAGTCTCGTTTTTCCAAGGCCCGTCTTTCTTCCGCAGGTCCTTGCAGCCCTCCCTCTGGTTCCCGCTAAACTCTACCGTTCCTCTCACCCTTTCAGGTTGGGGCCCATCGTGAAGACGGTGTGGCCCTGAGAGGCAGCCATTCTCTTGTGCCAAACCAGGTTCCAGTTCCGCAGCTTCCTGTCCAGTCTGCAACGTCCCCTGATTTGAACCCACCCCAGGACCCTTACAGAGGTAGGTCCGCCTCCAAAGGCACCCTGCCCTCGCTTAGACAATAGCAGCTCCAGTGTTGATCCCAGGCGTCCTTGGCATTCGTCCCTCAGGAAGCGCTGGCAAAAAACCAAGAATCAAATTTGGTACAAAAATGGTAAGCAAATGGGAAAGTAGTTAGAACGTAGCCGGCTAATTGTGTTTCTTCAGGAACTGTTTTGCTCAAACATCCTCTGAAATCCTGGTCCTCTCTCAGCAGGGAATGAGACAACAGCCTGATGAGAGGAAATTTTATTTTAGCTATTTCCACATTTTCCTCATTCAGGTCCTCTAATGTGGTTAGTTGTAGCCTGAACATGATATTTCCAAATGAATAGGAAGGAAGGAAATTGTTTTTGTCGTTTAAGATCGAAGGAAATGTAGGTACATTTCAAAACTGGAACTTGGTGGAACGATTTTCACTCTTTTCATCTCTCCCCGCAACGATTGCCTCAAACCACGGATGCCAGGCAGCTTTTCACGACCCCGGGGAGTGACATCGCAGGGGCCAGACCTCGGTCCCCTGCTCCCTGGGCTACCGCCTGGCCCGGGGACTTGCAGACCCTAAAATAATATTCTCTTATTACCCTCCCTCCATGTTTGGAATAAAGATGGTAACACTGCCACAGGGATAGGCAGAAGTTTTTTTTCACCTGCTAAACATTGTACAAATCTGAGTATTAATTATATATGTGGAGAAGAGACGATCACCGCTTCTTAAACTTAGCCTACGTAGGCATGACCTGAGGATCTTGTTAAAATGCAGATTTCGATTCAGGAGGTCTGGAATTCTGCATCTCTGAAGAGCTCTGGTGACAAGGTTGCTTCTGGACCACAGACCAAATTTTGAGTGCCTACGAATAGAGGAGAATACCCAATAGACATGCTTCTACCTTAGAAATAAGTGGATACACAACGGTCACGTCTTAAAATCTTCTGTGATCTTGCAAGTTGAAATGCATTGTCATCTTGAAAGTTGAGCAGTGGTTAAAGCTAGAAATTTCTTCAGCGAGCAGCTAACTGCTTTCCATATGTACCATTTTTAAATGCTGATTACTCCTCAAGGATAAGGGAAGCCTAATTTCAGAATATCATTAGGGTATCTATTGAAGCCTTGACTGTACTCCCTGGGAATTGTATTTTAAGGACATTTTTCTATTAAATCATTGCATATGGAAGAAACTCAATATAATAGCTGATATTTACTTGGGTTCTTAATCAGAACATTGAGGTGTGTGATTTTCATGATTATGATTTTCATTGCAATTAAGTTGATGTTTTGTAGACAGTGAAATTACCATCTACTCCAAAAGATTGCAAAATAGAATTTAACCTCGGAGCCAATGCAGAGAGAACTTGCTTCCACAGGTGCATTTTTGAAACTTCATCAGATAGCATGGGGAAAAAAAAAAAACAAAAAACAAAAAACCAACCACGGCGGGAGGATCCGCGTTCAGCAGCTGAAGGGTATAGGCACAGCTCCACGACCCACAGAGCGTGTGCCGGTGCCTCGGGTCTTCCGTGGAAGCGTCACCTGGTCTCTCTCTCTCTCTCTCTCTGCCTTTTCCTGCAGGCATGCCACCAGGATTGCAGGGTCAGAGCGTCTCCTCTGGCAGCTCTGAGATCAAATCCGACGATGAGGGCGATGAGAACCTTCAGGACACGAAGTCTTCCGAGGACAAGAAGTTAGATGACGACAAGAAGGATATCAAATCGATTACTAGGTCAAGATCTAGGTAACAGTATATGATACTGTCGCTTCATTTAATTCCTTTATTGGACTTTGATGAAGTGAACAGAATAGGAAGAAACTTACTCAGTTTTTTCCTGGCAGGTAAATCCACAGCCAAAAAGAAATTTCAAGGCTTGCTCTAGAGGTGCTAAAGTATCATTTAAGATACGGGCCCTCTGGTGAAGCCTAAGATGTCTTTGCACTTACGAATGTGGACCTCGTGCTCATTGCATGCAGTGCAGACAATTTGTAACTGATTCAAGTGCAAACGGTTGATTTAAAAAAAAAAAAAAAAAACTATGCTTATTCTGCGAATTTGGTCAGAAATGATCTTTCCAAAATATTTCTAAAAAGAGATCTCAGCCGTGTTGAAAATGCAACTGAGGTATATGCAGCTATGACTTTTCTCTTCTCTCGAACGTGAGAAAACACTGATTTCCCAGCTCTATCTTAAGCATGTTGGTATTTAATAATGATGATGATGATGATGATGATGATGATACCTAAGTTGCTCACTTTTTTTCTCCCAGATACTCCTTTCTACAGAAAACACAACTGCAGGAAAATAGCTCCTGGTTGGTTTTCTTAAATAATCTGGTATCTTTCAGTTAAAATCTGTTTCCTGGAATGTGAATCCTAATCTGATGATCACATGGTTTTGGAACACCGTGACACCCATGTTCTTTGCCTCAGTTCCCTTGGGTTGTTTTTATTTGTAAGTTAAATCCATCGTGCTGTGACTGCACATCCCCTTTTAAAAGCTGTTGTTCTCAGGGTTAGATCTAATGTCCTTTAGGGATTAAGAACATGCCACTTGTGATGGATTTTCTTATCCAAAAGTCCTAAAAGCCCCTCCCACCATCACCTCTCTCAGTCCATTCAGTTCTTAGTAATTTAACTAGTGGCCTTGACTTATGCATATAGATTCTATATGACTTATGCATACAGATTTCAGTACAACATTTTAACTTGCTGTTAAGAACCCGCTTCTTTTAAAAGGTTACGCTTGTGGCATTTGCTTATGTCTCTAAGCCTGTGATGTAAGGCAACGCTAGGCAGTTTTCTTTGCATAACCAATCTATTTCATACTTATGAGTGAATAACCAACTCTAATTAGTTATTAGCCTGAATACCTTTGGAAAACAAGTTCCCACTTTCCAAGGCAATGTTGTGAAAGCTGTGGCAACCTGTTCAGTGTTGCCCAGATTTTAGCTTCAGGACGGGCCCCGCAGAGGTTTGGCTCTGTTCTCATTTCATGTCTTACATCCTATTTGTATAGCGGGATGTGGATGCGAATTCACGGTAGCCGTGGCTGCCTCCCCGTCAGCAGAAGTCATGGGTGAGGAGGAGGAGGAGGGTTCGGCAGAAGAAGTGAGAAGGACCAGATGGCATAGGAAGAACCTTTTCCCACTGGTTCGGGGCAGTTGTGTGTCCACCAGCACTCCTCTGTGGTGGATGGTCCCATCTGGAAGGGAGTTTAACCTACAGGGAGACGAGCCAAGTCTTAAAGCATCTTCCTTTGGTGTCTTCCTCTTCCCCACCCTTACAAGTGTTCTTGGCTTACGTACATCATGTGTATTGGCAACATGTGCTTGCAACCCAAGGATACCACTCCCATTTTTCACTGACTGGAGCTTCTCGGCTGTAACTGGTCCTTAGTGCAATTTGGAAGCTACCCAGAGATTCTCCAAAGTGGAAGATTCAGATCCATACATGTTAAGCCAACATTCATTAAGTGTGCATTGAATTGACTAGATAACTTACCCCATGTCTTCCCGATCTGAAATGTCATGATTAACATCTCTATTCTGGGCACATTTCAGATTCATGGAATTTTCAAGGAGAGCTTAACCTCCATGGTCCTTTAGATCAGTGCTTGAACTTCTAGATTAACATCATGACAGACGGTCCTCTCCATATCATTTGATATAATGAGGAAGCTGTTACTTTTCAGTAAAGTTTCCTTCATTTTGTATATCTCTTATGACATCTCTTATACCCAAAAAGCTTCTTGCTCATGTTAACTCAGACTATACCACTCAGAGTTCTCTGTTTTGTTCTGCTTTCTGAGACAACACATCTCCCATGCCTCTCTCTTTTTTTTTAATATGATCACCCATGAAATATCTGAAGCCCTGATATCATGAAACCTTCATACAACATGTTTTCCAGATGGCCCGTCATCCTGTTTGCCCTCCATTCAAAAGTTCCTAATCTGGGAACATGACACCCAGAAACAGACAGAAGTAATCTTGCCTTTCCAGATTCTACTGGCTCCAACCATACCTTTGCTATGAATCATGTAATATTTTGGTTCTCATGATCAGAGATTAGCTTTTGGACTTCGTTTTTGACTCACAGTGAGATCGTAGTCATTTATAACTAGTAGGTGCTTGGTATTTTGTTTTGTTTGCTCTGTGTAGTGGACGTTAACTCAGGTTTTCCCAGCTTGTTTTGAGGATGACGAACATCCGTGATATGAAAAGGCAAGGAGATCATGATGTTTTTAACCTTTTTTTTTTTTTAACTGCATGGAGAAAATGACTCAGATACATTAAGTGGATTGGCCACGCCTTCAAAGCTCGTTAATGGTGAACCATGGACAAAAGGCTAAGTTGGCGGTGACCTGCTTTGCACAGTATAGCCTCATTGATCAGAGCTGTGTTTGCCCTTTGGGGCATCAGCGGGGTCGCACTCGGGGCCCTAACTTTAACCTCTCCTCTTCTGTTTGGGTTGAATGTCTGGGAGAAACTGAGTGTCTTGCGTGTGGATTGTCAGCACCGTTTTAGCAGTCCCAAGTTCAAGTGGATGTAAAATCCTGCTGCGGACGACAGCCGGAAATGGACACATTCCCTGGAAACTCTGGAAGAAAACAACACTAATGTAGACACCTTCTTTTTCCCCACACCATTAGAAAATGTCGCATCCCTTCTGTCCCACAGCAATAATGACGATGAGGACCTGACCCCCGAGCAGAAGGCCGAGCGCGAGAAGGAGCGGAGGATGGCGAACAACGCCCGCGAGCGCCTGCGTGTCCGCGACATCAACGAGGCTTTCAAGGAGCTCGGCCGCATGGTGCAGCTCCACCTCAAGAGCGACAAGCCCCAGACCAAGCTCCTGATCCTGCACCAAGCCGTGGCCGTCATCCTCAGCCTGGAGCAGCAAGTCCGAGGTCAGTACCAGCCCGCCGCCTCCCGGTGGAAGCGGCCGCAGTGGGTGGAGATGGGCTTGCTGGCCTTGAGCATCCTTCAGAGCAGCTGGGTCAAGGGCAGATCACGTCTGAATCGGGGAGGCGGCTCCCCTTGCTTCCGTAGTTAAGTTACAGGATTCTCTTTCAAGTAAGACGACATTAGGACGCTGCCATGTGCATTCTCAGTCGTTGGATTAGTGCTAGTGACTGACCCCTTGGATCACCGCGTGCCCTTCCTAGCTCTTCCTTTCGCTGGGTCCTGGTGAGACTCGGAGAAAGGGTCAGCAGGTGCGCAGAAGAGTGCCGTCCTGCCCTCTACCAGACACCATGGCGCTAACCAAATGCTCTGCTTCCATCTTCCACAGAAAGGAATCTGAACCCGAAAGCCGCGTGTCTGAAAAGAAGGGAGGAGGAGAAGGTGTCCTCGGAGCCTCCCCCGCTCTCCTTGGCGGGCCCGCACCCTGGAATGGGAGATGCGTCGAACCACATGGGACAGATGTAAAAGGGCAAGTGTGTTCTCAGCCATTTCGGGAACCCTTTCCCGGGTCAGTCCCTCTTTGCCAAGGTGTCACTCAGGAAAGTCCGCTTTCCCCCAAATGAACAGATTTTCTTTTCTTTCCCTTGGGGGAAAAAAAAGTTTTAAAAATAAAACATTTACTTCTGTGTTAAGCGTATGAATTAATTCTCCTCTCTTTTTCCCTTCTCAGGTCCAAGCTGCCACATTGCTTCATTAATACAAGAGACCACTTCCTTAACAGCTGTATTATCTTAAACCCACATAAACACTTCTCCTTAACCCCTTTTTTTGTAATATAAGACAAGTCTGAGTAGTTATGAATCGCAGACGCAAGAGGTTTCAGCATTCCCAATTATCAAAAAACCGAAAAACACACAAAAAAAAAAAAAGAAAGAAAAAAGTGCAACTTGAGGGGCGACCCTCTAACATATCATTCAGAATGTGCAAAGCGGCGTGTGCAGGCCGAGGCGCAGCCCAGAGACTGAATGGCAATCTTTCCACACTGTGGAGCAATGCATTTGTGCCTAAACTTCTTTTGGAAAAAAAAAATATAATTAATTTGTAAGTCTGAAAAAAAATATTTAATTTAAAAAATTGTAAACTTGCAATAATGAAAAAGTGTACTTCTGAAGAAAACTACATGAACGTTTTTGTTGGTATTCAAGTCAGCTAGTGTTTATAATTACTGGATATTGAATAAGGGAAGCTCGGCTGCCCTAGTAACAAAACCAGCAAACGTCCTGATGACAACGAAGTGATGACATTAGCCATTCCTTAGGGTAGGAGGAACAGATGGATCTTATAGACCTATGACAAATATATATATAAATATATATATAAATATATATTAAAAATTTAGTGACTATGGTAAGCTTTTGTTCATTTGTTTCAGACTTTTTTCTCCTGTAAAAAAATAGTACTGATTAACTTTTTTAAAAGAAAGATTTTACTGTAAATACGGATTTTTTTTCTTTTTTTTTGTTTTTTTGTTTTTTCTTTTTTCTTTTGTTTTTTCTTTTTTTGGGGGGGCGGGGGGGTCTTATTTCTGTCCCTTTCCCTGGTTTGTTATCGTAACCTGTAGTGCCAACTCTGCTTCCGGAGGGGTAGTGCAGGATCAAATGCTGACCCTGATGTTGCTTTTCATTCATAAATAAGTAGAAAGTTGTTTCTCCAGTCTTTTGGGAACACAGGACTTAAAAGTCACATCATGTGTAGATATTACAAGCAGCATTACCAAGACATGGCAAAAAGAGTTTGTCTGAACGTAATGTTGCGTTTGTGACCCTATTCTGGGATTTTCAGAGGTACAAGGTTAGAATGCTACAATGTTACCACTGTGCCTTCCAATGTTTATATCATCGGAAACATAACATAATCAAAGTGGCTGTGATTTAACAAAATGATTCAAGTGTTACCTACATGTGTAGCCGAAGTAGTGTGCAGTGAGGCGTTTCTGAATACATGGTCAGATTTTTGGAAAAAAACAAAAACAAAAAAAACAAAGTTCAAAAACCATCAAATGAGAAAATTGCAAGTAGTGTGACAGAGCTGATTGATTTTGTTGCTTTCTTGATTTTTTGTTTTCAAAATGGGTTTACTAAGATGTAGATGACTTAACTGACTCCTCCTTCGTCTGAAAATGCCAATATTCAATCATCATGCAGCATTATAACAAGCCTTATAAGTCCTAAAGCATTAAGTTGCACTTTCTTGAGGAGGGGTAGTGCAGTATTTTTCTGGCCAGTATGAATGAAGTTTATACTTAACATATTTGATAGAAACATAGATCAAGCTATGGCACAGCAACTCATCAGATAGCTAGCTTTGACGTCTGGGCACAATTGAACCAACTTCCATCGTGAATCTTTATAATGATTGACTTTGGTGTATAGTGCAGTAAACAAATAGTG